TAGAAGTGATTCGTCGAATCACTGTATTCAACGAATTTCTCCCCGGGTCATCTCGAAATGATCGAATTCATCTGGTTGAACTCACTCATCTTCAAAGTCAGATTGTTGACAACTCCAATGGAGCACAATCAACCCCGAAGTTCTGCATCCCGTTGGTGATCGTGCATCGAAATTTGACCGTAGTATGTACGCACCAGCATACAATACTTAGTAATCTGTCGGATGAGCCTTAACGCTTCTCCGTTCATGGTATTGACGTGAATTTTGAGTAACACCAACAGTTGACATATTCAGAGAAGTGTTCGATAAAAAAGAGAAAGCCGATCATGTCGAATGCGTTGGAAGTGTGACATGCTGGAACGGCGAGATGGAGGAACCAAGATGTGGAGTAAGAGAATCCCAGTAATGTGTATCTGTCAGCAACGAGCTTCTGAATGCGGGAGATGACCCGTGAAAATAAAGTGTAGAGAAACAGATTGACGGTTTGTTTTCGTATCGAATATTACGAAATAGGTGTTTACGAAGTGGAAGTGACACGCTAAGTGAAGGTCTTTTCTTTCATTCCAGGGATATAAATCAGGGAGCTACATAGTCAGTCTGGAAGAATGAAATTATTTTGGATGTACATGCAAAAATTGAAAGGGAAAAAAATGACACCCTGAAAAACACCGGCTTCAATGTCAATAGAAAAAGACTACGCCATTCAGTGAAGTGAAGTGAGACCTACGGGAGAAGTTGTCGATTGGTACACTCAAGGGTTCAGGAGTTGGACCACACTCGGAAAGACATTCAGTAAGCTACCATCCATTTTTTAATCCAAAAAAAGTTAACGAGTGTTACCAGCGCTATAGTCAATAGAATGAACAATATGAGCAGCGGTGACAAGTATGAATAAACGGGCTTTACATGCAATTTGTAAAGGTTCATGGGAGTCACAATTGGGTATCATGCGATGCAGCAAACCTTTTTCAACAGCCTTCAGCAACACAGATGTGCAAGCAATTGGACGGTGCTGTGGTGATCCTTTTTGGGGACTGATCTGATCCGGTCTTACCTCCGATAATTGGGGATCATTCCAGATGACACAGAAGTACTGAACAATGCGGCAATGGGTGTCTCAAGCTGGTCGGCGAAGGCTTTCAACAAGTGAGGTGCTAATGTATCGGGACCATGAGCTTTATTTGCCTTGACTCTCCTGAAAACCTGGGGAACCACGTCTGGAAAAACAGGGTTTATTTACTCATGGATAGGAAAACGCAGGTGGGAGGGAGCTAGAGGCAGGTGCAGAAGCAAATTGACGGTTAAGTGCCTAAACGTTGGAACAAGAACTGATGCGTGAGCCACAGATTTTCCACAAGGTAATCCACATCTCACGACGGTTTTATTGCACAAAACAGTCTTCACGTCCATTCCGTTCAGGCGTCTTACTTCTGCGAGAAGTTGGCCGTGTATGAAGGCAGTGGTTCGTTTCACATCATATTTTGGGGTAAAGAAGAAAAGTACAACGATCAAAAGTACTACTCAGGGCTCGTGTAAAAAAGTGAAACATATTGGGACTATTTACATGTTCTGAGAAAGCGGGGCTTGCAGGGAGCAAACGAAAAATTAATTTTACCTGGTGAGCAGGAAAAACCAAACGAGTGTTCTTACATCAACCTCAATTTACAAACGTGACCACTCCGCCAACTCTGTTGCGAAATTTCACAATCCAGTCACTTCTGAAAATAGTAAAGCCGTCCAATCCGATTACATCATCCTCGATATCTGGGTGTAACCCGCTTTCCTGAAGTAAAATGACTTCCACACTTTTGCATTGTTTCTGTTGCGCCAGATTCTGGACCTCATCGATTTTTCGCACAAGGGAGCGAATTTTACTCGAACAAATGGACGAAATCATCATTCTGTTGATAGAAATTCGCGTGAGTGCAACCTGCCAGCCAGCGCGATGCTTATTATGGTGACCCTGACGTTTACTTCTTAACCGTTTGTACCGATTCCTCACGAAATGAGCAAACGTTGAAATTCCAACGTCATTCAGGATTTCATATATTGGGAGTGATATGATAGCATCTAACCTTAAAAATTGATAAGCTTATGTAAATGTGTACAGTCAGGTGTATCCTGTGCAAAAATTTAAATAGCTGTCCAATTTCGAAAAGCCCGGCCAAAATTCAAAGGCCCCGCCAATGTCTGTTTTAACTAAGCTTTTGCTGTTTTTCATACTTATAAGGTCCGAGGATGTTTCAAACAACTCCCTGCATATTCCCCGTGAAGTTCTACTTATTCTCGATAGTGTTGGTTCAGTACGATTGGCGCTTTTTCACTCTCTGTACACCACACACTTTAAGCGACCGAGCTATATTGTGTTCACTTTGATCGTAACTGTCCTAGGCACATAAACCGATGTGGTAGGCACACAGGATTCGCGACTGAATAGAAGCACAGGTACCTCTTTGCAACACTTTTCAACAAAAGAATAAAAGGGTGCAATAACAACAAATGTGCTCTCATGACATGCGTCGACTTCACCCAGAGGGAGCGATAGACAATTTTGTTGTCGTATGGTTTAGTGCAATTGAGTTTGCTTCTGATGTCATGAGAAAGAGTTTTCTCATTTTCGCAGCCGCATTGTCAATCATCTTCTCATCTTCTTCTAATCTTACCCTGTGGAACCTTCAATCATCCCTGTGTACTATTAATAAGAATACATAAATGACTGAACAACTAGATAGCAATCTACCTCAGTCTCATCGTGTGCAAAGATGCATCGGCAGTTAATTTTGTCTGTGCTTGCACATTCAACGATAGACATAAATTAGGTTGCAACATGCAACTACTAGTGCATTGTTGTATCATCACAATGTCTTTCGTAACGACTATTGTCGTTGTATTCTGTTTGAGGTTTTCGTTAGAAGGATGTGAATACTATCCTCTGGGTTCGTAACTATCAGCCGCATATATGTCATTTACTTAAACATTTTATTCATGAAGGTGTTTGACATGGCATCTCGCTGTGTTCTAGTCTAATACCACGCCCATCTGAACGAAGTCTAATGCGGTTCGCCACTCCTATTCACATGACTATGTTACCGGTTTCCATCACACATCAGCTGGTCCTCGTGACTACGGGGTTTACTCCTTGTGTTGTTGATCAAAATAAAAGGGTGTAAAAAAAACACGATAAGAACTGTTTAGTAAGGTTGGGTTTTTGGATTGCACGCTGGTAGAATGCTGCCTGACCCGTTGCGCTGAAAAGCATAATGGTGGTTACTCACAAGTGTAAGTCATATTCAATTCTTATTCGCTGTGTCACAAAAACCCTTTATCTAACTTCAGATGGTAATTGGTGGAGTGGACAATAGTTATCGATTCTCAAAGCATAATCAGGACGGCAAAAATGCCACGGAGAACACTGTGTTGAAAGACAATTGGTTTCATCTTGTGGAAGCGGACAATCGGCTGATGCACTGATTTTTCAACAGGACTGATGGCATTTATTATGAGTGACAACAGCACTGATGTAGACCATGGACGTTTGTAATATTCAAAACAAAGATTTCGGTTCCGCCAAGATACTGGTAATTTCTATGTGCTATCAGTAAGGAGTAATAACAGATTCACATCATTGTGTTGGATCTATCACAAAAAAATTTGCATGAACGAAAAATCACCAAGGTCATGGTCGATTCGAATTGCTAAGGGACAATATTCTTCCGCTGATTGACGGGAAAAACCTGCAATTAACTTAGCTCATTCACACTGGGGGCAAATTCGTACGAGTCGTGTTAGGTAAGCAATACATCGAGCAAATAATCTCGCATGATATGGTGCTGGATTTTGGAAACTAAGCGAGAATTGTTTTATGATCATCATAAATGTGCGATCAAACTACAGAGAGCTATTCGTAATGACTCCATTGTATGGCGACGACGTAAGCTATGGCCGGTAATGATGGGTCACCAACAACACCCTAGTAGGATAAACTAAATGAAAACTATGATAAAAACAAACGATCCCAAACCGGGTATCATGTGGAAAACTTACCTAAAATTGAGGCAAAACAATACTATCAGTACCCCTTCCTATTATAAAAATCATTAAAAATCTTGCAGCCCACCGCACTGTAGGTTCTTTTAACCGACTACCAGTACAACATGATCAGTCAATTAGAAGTATTTACATCTGTTGCAACGCTAATAGTCATGTTAACGTAAGAAAAAACTGCTGTTTCGAAATCGAAACCAACCATGAGCATATGATGAGCCCATACCGTACTTCCCAAACACACGATAGCAGAAATAGTAAGCATAGGACCATAATAACCGGACAAGGAATCATCAGTTGGCAGTGTGAAACCTATGTGAGGGATGATACCAAACCACGGCGAAATCGATAAACAAGCCTCGGGATGCCCAAAAGCCAACGTAAATGTTCAAATTATACAGCATTTCTGCCTACAAATTGAAGATCAAAGCACAACATTATTACAACACTTGCCATTATCAGAACCATCAACAACAGGAGAGTAGAGAAGTGAATACAAAAGCCCAAATCTTTGTATGAAGTTTTCTTCAAACCTGTTACAATAAACCATGAAATATTTTAAAAGTTAATCCAACGGCACCTGAAACACGAGAGACAGCTACCGAATACGTGAACAATATCAATAGTTCGACAGCCCGAATCGTATAGCCCTTTGCAGATAGTGGGGATGAATCGTTCAACCAACACCCGCAGCAGTAATAATGCATGTGGTACTCGGTAGTTCATCCAAAGTTTCGACGCATTATGTGAAGGATCCGACAAATGAATAATTATTTCCATTACGTTTTCGGTGCATACGAAGCTGCCTAGGAGTTGAAAACTGCTGTTCGCGTCACTGAATGCTTGCTTTCCGCAATTGCCAACATTCATTTACTCCTCTGGATCTGGCTTTAAGATGGTTCTGTTCTTCTTTAACAACAGGCTTATAAATGTGCTCTTAGGCGGTCAGACCGAGAATACCTTCCATCAGTGATTTAGAACCCAACCAAATTTATGCGCAACTGAAGAGGCCACAACCTTGCTACTCGCAATCGTGACCTTGTAGCTTGAGGCAATTTGGTTTCTTCACGTTTTACTGGTTCTGAAAATTGCGCTTTACCATTGCATGACATTTTTATTAGGGCTTACAAATCTGTTAAATGTGTTTGAGAATGATCCGGTAGTCTTTCCGATACCTTAATAGTGAACCCAATATCTATATGACATATGCCACGCCACAGCTGGATTGTAGTTCATTATTGAGGTCCAATAATCGAAATTGGGACAGAGTAGCGATTGAGAAATTTCAGCGAAATTTTACCACACGCCCGAACTATAAGGAATGATGGATTGCACTGAAAAGTGAGAATGTACGGTTTAAGGGATGAAATTTATTTTATTATTCTTTCATTCAATCACAATGTATAATAAAAGCAAATCATCTCATGCAATGAAAAATCAATCCGACTGTAGATACTTTTCACGAGGCAACTAACCGTATTATCGTCTGTGCACCGTTTGTCTCGAAACTATTTGCAATCGAATATTTTTTAATAGAATGCGGTAAATTTGCAAAATTGGTTCACAAATGAAAACTTAGTTTAGGAGAAAGAACGAAGTTTTGCAAAAGGACAAATCGGTTTGACCCAGACCGACATCAGTTGATTAGAGTTGCCTAAATTTGTTTCAAATCCCAAATGACGAAAACTGCAGTTTCTGGGATATACTGAAAATGAGTGAAAAACGGCTCACTGAGGCAGAGGGGGAAAGGATGAAATAATAGATGATGATCACAACTGATTGAGGTTAAAAGTGTTATTGGATCACATACTGAATCAAGAGAAGTTGTCATGGAGCCAGATTGTTTAGTGAAGAAAAACGAATCCCATGGAAAGTGGAGGTCTTGGTATACTTTAAGATTTCTTTGGTTGAGAAGAAATGATACAAATATAAAACATTGATGAATGTCAACACAAATACTAAGCCACTGTACGGGATAACAGTAATGTTATCGGGGAATACAATCTGAAACGTGAGCATAACTACCATGATCCGGAATGAAAATGAACCTGAGAAGTAGTGTAAAAAATTGCCAAATTTTGTACTGTGATGCCGTTCTCAATCAGAATTCGCACACTTCTCGGACATTTTCAGCACAGAAATCCATAAATGGAACAAACT